CGGCCTTGGGAACCATAAAAGAGAACTGGGAGAATCAAGGAAACAGAAGGGAAGACGAAGGGAGTGTGCGGCTGGTCCCTGTGGAGGGGAGAGAGAGGAGGGTCCAAGCACTGGGCACTCACAGGGTCTTGTGCAGATATAAGGTTCTCTTTGGCTGTTTGCTTGGAATGGAGGATGCTCACAGAGCACAGGAAGTCGCTGTCGGCTGGGTGGGGAGGGGCTAGATTATTGAGATCTGGTCCATTCCCTCTGTAGACCATAATCAGTTTATCAACCTGGGAAGCTGCTGCCTCTCTAGGATATCATCCCTTACTCTGGGAGAAATAGGCTAGTCTAAGATTTAAAGAGCTCCTCTGGCCAAAAATACAGGGGCTCCTTGTTTATCCAGCACACTTAGCTAAAGGCCAAATATCCCTAAACCTCCAGTATCCAGAACATGGGTGGGCTTTAGGAGGATGATTTCAGAAAAGACCTTGAGGGGGCATCTGGGTGGCTCAGTGGCTTAAGGCCTCTGCTTTCGGTGCGGGTCATGATCCCAGGGTCCTGGGATCAAGCCACACATCGGGCTCCCTGCTCAGCGGGGAGCCTGCTTCCTCCTCTCTCTCTGCCTGTCTCTCTGCCTACTTGTGATCTCTATCTGTCAAATAAATAAATAAAACCTTTAAAAAAAAATAGAAAGAAAGACCTTGCGGACCTCAGCTGGTGCCAGGATTCCGTGCACTGATGCTTTTCACACTCTGTCCCTGGGGGTGTGCCCCAGAGCCTGCTCCACCGTGAGCTTGGTGGACTGAAGCCGAGCAGACATGCTGGCCCAGGATGACACTGGCTTCGGGCAGAGCCGAGACCCCAGACCCAGAACTTCCCAATGGACAGCAAGATCTCCGGAAGCAATATCCGTACAACACAATGAAAGAGTAACACAAGTCAGAAGAAGGCGGCTCCGGGAGGCAGGCATACACCTCACAGGAAGTGACAGCAAGAGTACTGACAGGAAAAAGTCACAGACTTTCCCCTGACAAAAGACAACGGTGTTAACGTGGTTGCTAATTCATTGCGTATCCACACAAACAAGACACAGCAATCTTGCGAAGCACTTATGATCAGCTTTGCAGGTGAGGAAACTGAGGCCTGGGAAGTTTAGAAGGTCAACAAAAACTCAACTCTCAACCTCTCGGATCCAAATTGGACAAAACCTGGCCTGGGTCACAAAAAGCGAAATTTGAAATTAGAGGCCTGAATCATGAAGCAGAAGTTGACTCCCCTTACTGCTGGTTTTGTTTAAGAAGATAGGGAAGTGTGGCACAGGATTCAGAATGTTCTTTATCAGAAATCCTTTCAGAAGAGGACAGTGGAACTCTAAATGAGTAGGTCCGAGTATCTAAACATTTCCCTTGGACGGAGCGCGGCTCTCCCGTGGAAAATGAGATGCCGAACGCATGCCTAAAATCACTCACATAAACTTCGTGTGGGCTTTTTGTTCTTTCAAGAAATGTTCTTTTAGGTCTTCCTAGTGGTTTGCACACTTGGTGAAGCATGTTTTCCAAGACACCCATCTGGAAATGACCAATTCTTAACAGGGCCCAGACTTTCGGTTTGGGTTTTCCTTGGGCCTCTGGGCTGGGGAGGGAGGCCATGCTGGTCTGAGGCCTTATGAATAAGTTGTGTATCATACGCAGGTGGGTGTTCTTAAAAAAAACGCATGTATCTTAGATTTCAGAAATGGAAAAAGATTCAAGTCTGTGTACATATGTTCCCAAAGCCCTCTAGTGTCCCGCCTACTGCTGGCTGACTCAGGGGAAAAGCAGTAGTACCTTCTTCCTCACCACAAGGAATGAGTGGTTCTTCCCTGTTGTCTCAGAGGACCCTGAGTCCTGCCCTTTGGTCCCTTGGCCACATCTACGTGGCCAGGCCACGGGGGCCTCTGGTTTCTGCCCACAGAGAGCAGCCTGTGGGTGCTGGGGGTTTGGATTCCTGCTCACAGCCCGAGGGAGGAGTCAGAGAGCTCCCCACAGATGGTGGTGGCCTGGGACCGCGCTGACTCAGGCAGAGCTGGGGCTGTGAGGGAAAGTTTCCAAGCAGACAGCAGGCTTCGGTGGAACAAAACGGACAAGCGGCTGTTCAAGGGAAAAGGCCTGTCTGGGGTTTACTTTTCAGGGGCTCCACCTTTGGGTTGAGGATTTCAAGACACAGAGAGCCAAGGGCCCAGGGAGCTCCGGGCCGGGCCTGCTCCTGGATCTCGGGGCAACCTCTGCCCGTTACCCCCACAGATGTGAGGAGGGGATGGTGCTGTCTGCGGCCGGCCCTTCCTCCAGTGTGGGGCTGGCTGCTTCCTGGTGCTCTTATTCACTTTCCTTTCTGCAGGGGTGTTGCTGCTGTGCCCTGTCAGGAGGAGGACAGTGCAGGCGGTTTTCCCTTGGTAAGCATCCATCCACGCTAGGGGCCTGGAGAGCCAAGTCCAATTCAAAACATGCACCGGAAATGAAAAGAGAAAGGAGTCTAATTTCCTTTGGTAGGCGCTTTCTAAACCCAGGAGTTCCCTTGGACTGAAAAGGACAGAAGGGGGAGAGAGAAGGCACCAGACAGAACTTCGAACACTTCAATAAGGTTAATTGTTCCTCTCACCAGCTAGTGGTACAAGGCCGTGGGGGAGGAGAAGCTCATTTATTCTGAATGCAAATGGCCAGGGAAGAATGTTAAAAATACCTTGCAGAGTGAGAGATTGAGAGAACCGGAAGTGTCTTTCTACATACAAGAATCAACAGGAATGACAGAGAAATGGGGAACAGAGGGGAAAGGGGGGAGGGAAAGAGAATTAAGGACGACATTAAGTAGTGGAGGCCTGACCCCAGCAGAGCCTTTCTGATAACATGGCACTGGGGAAAAGAGACCCCAGAAAGATTTTTTTTCTGACCTTCCTGACCTTTTCAGTTCAAGCCAGAAGCATCCATGCGGGAGTGGGGAGGAAAAACAGGAAGCTGCTTAGTAAGGATGATAAGCCAGAAGATAACGTGCAACTTCTCCGCTTCCCCTACTCCAAGTCCAGCAAGAGCTTGTCCCTTTTGCTGCTGGAGACTCCAGCAACCTGAGTTCTCCCCACCTAGGGGGCTGAGTCCTGGGTGGGGGAAGGCAGACCCTGCGGCCCCAAACAGGGCAAGAGCATGTTTTCCTGGCCTTGCCTAGTTCCCTAACATGTGTTAAGCCATGCTCACTAGGCTCCCTGAGTTCTTCCTTCCAAAAGCCATGCCTTCCTGTCCTGCCACTATGAATATACATAAGATGACCGCTTAGCAATTTCCCTGGGAGATTTGCTGGCATAAGCATAACAGAATTTGGCCCTCGGTAGACAGAGGTGCTTAGTCAAATTTCTCTGAGCTCAGACCCAAGCTCCCTGTGCATTAGGCTCCAGTCTGTGCCAGCCTCCTGCAGCCCAGCCAAAGACACTGGGAGCAAAAACACCCAATACAGGAGCTCTTCTGCCAGAAACCCTTGCTGAAGTCCCCTGCCGGGACTCAGCAGGACTGAGATGCTGTAGGAGTGTATCAGGCTGTGCATTTTAACTTAAACAAAGAGGAACTGATGAGTTACCCTATGTCATCCACTGAGTCAAGAGTAGATCTGGGATTAGAAAATCCGTCTTATGACTGTTCGTCACATGAGGCAGCCATCCCAGACACCCTCCCGTTTTCAGCGCAGACTACCTCTTGCTAGGAGAAAACCATTATGTAGGCGTGAAGTAGTCCTAGGAGGATAACAACAACATCAGTTCACTGCCTCTCAGTCTAGCCCTGGTTCAAGGGTGGGCCTTGTCTCCTCCACGAGGACGCGTGAGCCTGGAGGTAGGCCTGCTCCCTTGTACTTTTCTCGCCAGCTGGCCCCTTCATGAATTTTTCCATCCTTGCGACACCTCGGTCACAAGGAATGTCCAGACTGTTTAGGAATCGTAACGGGACACTGAACACCCAGTGGCACATCGTTGGGGCACATTTGGAGCAGGATGTGATCATCGCTACGTTCTTTTCTGCACGGAAAACTCACACTATTGTTTCAACGAGCAAAGACTTTCGGATAGAGCCCACTAGAAGGTGCAAAGTACATGCACATCCTTGACATTGCAATGCTACCTGCTCCTTCACCTTAATTTAAGGGACCGTGGGGTTGAGAAGACATTTCTAAAGCACTCATGGATGTCTGAATGCCCACTTGGTATCTCCCAAGCTGCACATTTCCAAGGTAGCAGGACCGGTGTTATGAGACCAGCCAAGCCTCCTCGGGGGACTGACAAGCTCTCTGGGCTTCAGTTTTCTCATCTGCAGAATGTTAGCCCTGACCACACCAATGTCCCAGGGCCACCATGAGGACAGGACGGAGGGATACTTGTAAAGCAATTAGAACGGTGTCGGTGACATAAATCTGTACAGCCAGCTTTGAGACTCCAACCTGTGCGGCACACGTAATAAGAATCAGTGTGAAGCTTAAACCTACCAGTGTAGACTCAGACTTTTAACTCTCTTTCTGTAAGGAAACCAGCGGCCACTTCACAACAGAACAGCCTCATCCTCCAGGGCTGGAAGCTGAGGAAGTCTCCTTGCGGGGACCTGGTACTAGTTCTGTGGGGTTTCTACATGTGGTGGTGGGTTTCTACATGTGGTGGCAGTGGTGGAAATGGGGAGAGCTCCAAGGGGAAAGTAAATCCCAAGGTCAAGAGCTGGTATAGTGCAGTCTACCCCTGGCTCCTAGATGGGATTCTCCTCCACAACCCACTTTGAAGACAGGGTGTGCTTCTCTACCCTCTTCACTCAAGAAGGCTCTTTCCTCCATACTATGGGATCCCCTAAGGCTTTATTTCTCCTGGAAGACAATGTCATCTCGAGGTTTCCCTCTGGGGCCCCTGTTCAGCAGGTGGGTTAGGGGGGCTGCCATTAGGCAGCAGAAGGGGCGGGAGCCTGGGACAGGGGGAGGGTGGGAGTAGGTGTCTCACGGATCTCCAATCAGGTGCTTACTTGCAGTCGTGTTTCTCAATCTCGAAGTGAGGGTTGAAGTTGAGGACAATCTTCTGGTTGGGTTCAGGGGCGTAAACAATCCACTCGCAGTTCTGGTGGGATGGGTAATCCTGGGGGTAACCGGGGGAGGTGATGTAGCCAGCATCTTTGGAATTCAAACGACCTCCACAGGGTGAGTCTGAAAGAAAAGTCAAAGAACCCAAAGAACTTCAAATATGCTACGGCCTCTTTTTTGTCCCCCCCCTTCTCTTCCCTACCACTGGCTGATTAAAACTGTTTTACAAACCTTTTATGGCAGTCCAGAAGACTAACCTACTTACTCACTCAGTGGAAGAGATTACTTCAACTCATCCTCCCTGCTACTCACCACACACACACACACACACACACACACACACAGATGGGCACAATCACACACGTTCCCCAAATGAAAATATTCCAGAAAATGATCGTAAATATTCCCAATTACATGCGCTGATGTGAAACAAACAAGAGAGCTATAAATGTAACTTGCCCCCTGCCTTTCCTTGTCTCCTCTCCTTGGCCCATCTCCTTCTTGTTCAAACCTCTCCTCTCCATCTTTATCTCATAAATCCTTCATTTCAGTCAGTGTCTCCCAGCCCAGCCCAGGCAGCCAGAAGCAACAGCTCCGGGAAGTGACAATAGTGGTTTTGTGGTGCCGACCCACAAGCAAGCCTGGTAACAATTACATGTGATATGGAGGAAACACTTTCAGCTTTGGGCCAGAATAGGCCCTGGAGGGTGATTTTAGTTTCTTCTTCTTCTTCTTCTTCTTTTTTTTTTTTTTAAGAAAAAAAAAGCAAAAACCCCAAACATTTAATTCCACATACACCACAAATTTGATTTATTATTTCATTATACACCGAGTGGAAAAAATCTGCATTAGAGAATTCACTGGCTCTGACCTCAGAGCTCCCACAAAAGTGCTTTGTGTTTTTCCCTTGCTTTCTGCCCACCAGCCCTCCTGCCTAGTCACCACCACCAGAGTGTGCTGCTGCCTTGTCCAGGCCAACCAGTCACCAGCCACTTGAAAGGCCACTGCAGGGGGGTAGCTGCCCCTCTTCCCAGCAGTGCCCGGCTGGAGGTAAACAGCTTCCTGTGGGCCAGGAGGCAAGGGGGCGACTTCAAAGGCAGAAAAGGTGGGTGATGACATTTGAAGAATCTCATCTATTTGGGAGTGTAATCCCCAGGAGGGGTTCCGGGGAAATGGGGGGTTTTGCTTAATACCACCTTAGAACCGAGGACAGGAAGGCACGAGAGACCTGGAAATATTCAGAAGCCTCCCGGAGACCTTCCTGCGATGTGTGCCTCTCTGAGCATCAATCAGGATTTAATATCGCCATCTGCATGGAGCAGCGTGGGCCCGTGAATTATGTATCACGGCTCAGCATCTACCCTACAGGACGGGCTCTTTCTCCTGCGTTCGCTCTTTGAGGGAAAGGGTCATGCATTTTTTAACTCTACAGGTGCACTTTACTATTCCCCACGTCTGTTGGCATTACTGTCTTCCAGACCTCTGCTTTAGATTACCAGCTTGACAGGCTTTAAATGCATAAAAGATGGGCAGGCCGCACAATGGCGGTGGGACACACAGATCCGCACAAGTAGCCTTTTAGGCATCGTGCCTCTGCGAGCTCAAACTGTGCCGTGTTGAACTGCCCAGAATCTAATGGATTCGGGTTCCATTTCCTACTGGGTGGAAAACAAAAGCAGGCCATTTCCTCTGGCTAGCAGAGCCCACACCATCCTCTAACTAATGACCCTGCACCCTCCCCAGTCCTGCAGGACAATAGGCTCAGCCCTCCCGCGGACAGAGAGGAGCCCCCACCCCGGGCCTGGACCGCCCATTCCTCCGCAACCAATCCCCGCAGGCTTGCCCACACCCCGGGCCACGCTGGGCGCCCAGCACCTTCCAGCAAGTTAAACTGGGGCCAGTTGGTGCTGGCTCGTGCACATGCGATGGGGCTGAGAAGGAACCTCTGAGAAAGCAGAGGTGTGGGGACTTCAGATCACCAGCTGCTCTTACCAGGTTGGGAGGGGGAGGGGTTTTCTCCCCGGTAGAGCTTCTCTGCCAGCTGTTTTGCTCAAGACTGTAGCCCTGACTAGCACACTCACCCCCAAACCACCCCATTGGCCTTGGAACTCTCCAGAAGGAATGGGAGTTGAGCTCCTGTGATGGTTTCTACATCACCCACACTCTCTCCCTCCCTCTCCCTCCCCTGCTCTCCTCTCCAGCCACTCCCAAAAGGAGAACTCCTCCCTCAATCTCCCCTTTCCCCCCAAGTTCAAGCTTTTTTAGGAATCAGACCAGGCACACATAAGCAGCGATCAAGGCAGGAAACTTCCTCATAGGAAGGTTTCATTTCTCATCCACACCAGGAGTAACCACTTCCCCGCTCAGAAAAAACTGAAATTACGTACAACCCATAGCGGATAGTCTGTATTTTCCGCAGTAAAAACTTAATGGAAAGAAAAATGAGTAACTCGTTTCTTTTTTTTTTTCTGTCCTTTCTTTATCTGAAGAAAATCAAGACATTTTATTAAAATTTTTGAACACTCATTAAAACATCTGCTTTGCTTTGGTGTAGTTAACCCTTTCAATACCCAAGCCTGTATAAACTCTCATTCCTGTTTGGATGGCACTCACACTGAAAAGCAGACACACACACATAGATACCGAGCAGAAGTCAGGGACACACACCTATTAGAAAGTCACACTTTAGGCCCGTACACACTTTCACACCCGCTCGTAAAATATCACACGTCGTTTGCACAGACACATAGCCACCAAGATAAATACTATCATTTCTGCCTCTGTTTTTCTTGGAGAGAACTGAATCCTGGAAAGATATCAGTAAAACTTGTAAAGAAAACACACTGAATCCTTCCACACGTCTTCTTGATCATTGATATCTCATTTCCAGGTTTGGGGATCTTCATTTCTTGAACACAAACATGCCCCCAGTAGAAATGAACTCTACTTTGTTCTGAAGAGCTCTACCGCCCGTTACTCTGGGGGTCTGTCTTGTGTCCCAGAAGGAACAGCATAAATGCTGTCTGTCCTGTGTCAGAGGAGTCCGGGCAGAGCCAGAGAGTTGAACTCAAGGGCAAATCCCTTTAGGCCAATCTCCACATAGAGAAGGGAAGTTGACCCTGTGGAAGTTGGAGCCACTGGGCCTGTTCGGTGAGTTGACAAGGGACTTCTTTCTTCAACTATTTCGTGAGTACCTTTCACCTGGGGCAAATTCATTTCCCAAAAAGAAGGCAGACCCTGGCTGGGGCGGTTCAGAGAGGGTTTTCCCTTCCATCTGTGAGGGCAGCCCGAGGCACGAGCCAGCTCAGGCCAGATAAAGACCTGGGAGGGCGGCAGAATAAAAGGATTAAGGTGACACCTCCAGACCTAATTGGAAAGAAGGGGAACAGTAAGTCCTAAAGTCCAGAAGGTCTGATTTTTTTTCCCCCATGATGAGCATTTAGGTGTTTTTACTTGACATGTAAAATGTCAGATGATTTCTGACATTTATATCCTCCAGTCTCTCTGTTTTTTTGTTTTGTTTTGTTTTCCTCTCCTCCTCAGGTGCCCTCATCTTGCTGGTGGCTGAGGCACCATCTGAAGCCGCCTAGAGGTAACCGGGCTCTGCATCAGGTAAAGTGATTTTGTACCCGCCGGCGGGCAATTCTGAGCCACTCACTCTGCCGGCTTCCGAAGGAACCCACCCTTCTCAGGAACCTAAATTTAAGCCAAACCACTAGTTCCTTGGTAATATCTGATTTTTAGGAAGTAATGAGAAGGAAAAGAAAGTATTTTTTAAAATCTGGTCTGCCTTCTAAAGAAATTCAGCTGGAGTTGTTCTAAAGGAACACTGTAGGGCCTGCGCTTGACACTAAGGTTCACTAAGGAAACCCTGACGGCTGCGAATACTTTTAAATAATTAGAATTACAATGGCTCACCCCAGGCCGGGCGGAGGCACCAGGAGACACCAGGCAACAGCCTGCTGGCAGTCCCCCAGCAAAAGAACAGTCCTATCCCGGGCTTAGCTGAATGGAAGGAAAACGTCCCTGGCCCAAACAGGGAAATTTAGGACTGGCTGAACATGGGACTGGAGTCAGGTTGTGGTCAGAGGTGGGTCCGAGAGGATGGGACCGAGCTACTGGAAAGGGAAGCGGGGTGGTCCCATGGTAGCAAGAAGAGGCCAGTGGATTCCTCTCAGCTTCCTACACTGTAATTCAGTGGGAGGATTAAACCAAGTGGGTAGTTCTCAAAGTTCTTCTTTGAAGAGTTTGTTTTCTCTTTGAACAAAAGTCTACCCAGAACTCCAATGTCCAAAGCAGGTAGAAGGAAGTGGGGCTCTCTTGGGTGCAGGATAGGGTGGCGAGAAGGGGTGTAGAATCCGGTCCCCTCAGTTCCCTTGTCACCTCTGCTGGGCTTTGGGGAGCACAGTTTGAAACTCACTGAACTAGACCCCAGTTCCCTTGTTACTTTAAAACACCTTGTACAAGAGAAGGGATAGAAGGATTAGAAGACATCCATTTCAACATATCCCTGAGGGTCAGATGGAGAGGAGCAGTCGGTTTCATTTTCCCTGACAATAACAGACTTTATTTCCTCTATAATTTATCCTTTATCCACAGCATAATCCCATCCTGTTCGTACTTCCAAAGCACTGCTTTCATTTCATTATTAGCAGCAAGCAAAGAAGCAGCCCTTTCTCCTCCTTAAAAAGAGAGACGGTTGTCACCTTGCCACTTCATTAGCAAGAAGTCTTGTCTTCAACATGGTCTCACCACTGACAAGCTGTGTGGCCTTGGGTAAGTCAGGAAACACCTCTGAGACTTTGTTTTCTCATCTATAAAATGAGAGGAGCGATTCTAAAGGTCAGTTTCAGTTCTTAAATTCAAAGCCCCTATAATGAGGTGGGGAAAAGATCCCATAACCCCATAGATTGAACCAAAAATTGAAAAGGCTGTCTCCCCACCTAAAGAACAAGACCTTTACTCAAGGTGTCACTCCTGTTTCATCTGTTTGGTAAGCCTTGAAACAACCTCTAGGATTTTTCCGATGAGCACGCCTGTCTTGCATTATGGAGAGTTCAAATGTCTTTTAATCACATTAGCCCTACTGACGTGAGTTTCTTTCCTTAACCGAGTCTGTAGCT